CCAACTTTACACTTTCCACCAAAACAGAATAAGCATGTCAACACAAAGTGTACTCTAAGTCTAACATGAGTAACCAAACATGATGCTTGATTAAGTTAAAAGAAAATGCGAGGGCATAAATCTTTAATCACACCACTCCAGAGGGAAGACGTAGAACAAGCTGTCCTCCGAAAACGCTGCATTTAAATAAACACAATTAGGAGAACAGCGCAGAGTCATGCTAAACATTCCTTAAGTTGCTACCGGCAAAAGCTGCAAAGAGATTGCAGATACAAGTAGAAAAAAGGAAAAACTATATTATGAACTATACTAACCTTTTGACATAATAGTAACAGAAATCGGCTAAGATGAATGTCTGGACAATTTCTGAGATAAGAACCATTGACGGCCATAAACCATATCCTAAAGCAACCAGCAAATGTCCACGGGTATCTAACACCTGTTACAAGAAATAGTAAGTTAGTATAGGAGACCTATGGTCACAAAATCCAAGTACAAAACATGAGAAACGAGGCAATAACAACAGCATTCTTGTAACCACATGACCATCGATAAGATCAGATGTTAATTTGCGAACACACAAACATTGCAACAGAAGGACCTTGCTGCCATGTTAACTCGGGGGGTTACAGATTTGGGTCGCCAATCAGTATCATTTGCAAATACAAGGTAAGACCGCCTTGTCAATTGTAGCCTACATTGTGTTTGACCCTCACACAACAGCAAGAGCTTTACAGCACAAGATGCCCTTAAAAAAATGTCGTAGTCATACTTATACCATTGAGAATAAATTAGAAACTAAAAATTTATCAAAATTTGTTCATATTCCACTCCTTGATCATCAGGAAAGACAATAAAAAAATGTGTAATTGTGAAATTTCATGAACAGACCTGGAGAACCCAATGAGCACAGCTCAAGAATCTTGCTACACCCAGTGCAAATACATAATGAGCAGTGAATGGCTCAACGATCTGAAAGTACAAAATAAAACAATTCAGAAGGAAAGTAAAAGAATCAGATCACATACATTAGAAGATGGACATAGAACGCGGAGTTAAAAAAATTATACTTTGGTGTTCTGCATGACCCGAAGTTGGGGTAGAACTGAAACAGCTTCCAGATATACACAGAAAGCCCAGAAAATCCTGTTGAATATATGATGAGAAGTTGATGGATGAATAACCAAGGCTAACACAGCACAGGGCAACACCTGCATCCATTTTCAAAAGTAAAGTATATCAAGATGATGCCGGTGGAAGGCAAATGCATAAGTTACAACCAAAAAGTGACAAAACCGAGCATTCACACAAATGACATATCAAATATATGAGATGGTTCATAGTCCATCTCTATCATCTAAAGATACTGCATTGAATACTCAAACTAATAATGTCAAACTACCATACTTACCATAAAAGAGAACGAAAAAAATGCTTTTAAATTCAAGACGAAACAATTGGAGCTTACCACATAGTATATGGCAAAGTTATCCTTCTCTTCCATGTAACTAGCCTTCAGCTTAAATCGAATCATGTATATAACCCACACCGTAGTGACAACAGTAGCCAAATCAAGTATGGTGTGAATGTCATATTCCATGACAAAACTACAATACAGCCTAACAGCTAAAAACATAGCTGTTAATTCCTGGGATTTGAGTGATAATCCTGTATACATCATTCAAAACCATTATCAACACAAAATCAAACATGTCATTCATATCTATTCTTGATCCAAAAAATAAAATAAAAAACAAGTCACAATACAAAATTAGGCCAAACACAAACACAATTGAAACTAAAATAATGCCAATCTGATTGGGACCGTAGAAAATTAAAGACAAAATTCAATTTCCTTTTAAGGAAATCTAATAAAGGGGGTAAAAATCTATAGAAACAAATCCCAAAAATTTGATCTTTCTGATAGAACAAAAAAAGGGGAAATTTATAATCTAGCCAAGAACGAAAAAATGTAAAAGATTCAAGATACGTATTAAATCGGAAAAGAAAGAGAGAGAAATACTAACCGGCACAGGTTTTCTCTTTCATGAGTTTATAGATAAGAACGGAGATACCGAGGGAGTGAACAGCCTCTGCAGCGACAAAGAGATTATCGTGATCGTGAACGATGAATCGGAGGAGAACAAGAGCGGCCATGCCGGAAACGACGGCGAGAAAAGCCTTGACCTTTGGTGGTTGTCGCCGGACCCATGTGGAGATGGCGTGGATCGATGTTTTCTGAGGTCTCATGGCGAAAAGGGTTTGCTTCTGAGTGCTCGAAAACACAAAGACAACACACAGCACAAAGACAAAGATAGTTGTTCCCTTTCTTGGAAGGATCTATAGATTTCAGAGAGAAGGGGATATAGAGATACAACAAAAACACACGAACAAACAAAATTTGCAATTGTGTTACATTATATATTAATTACTAAGGTTGAGATTAAATTAGATTACATTTTATTTAATTCATTTTTTATTCTAACTTTCTATCAAAATAACTGATTTTTTATTCTAATTTTGCAATTGTGTTAAATGATCTTTCAACAACAAAATAAATAATATAAGATGACTAATATTGAATACCTTAAGGATGTTGTCATATTAAGTTTTTATGTTAGCCTATATTTTTATGTTAAGCTGATCAGTTAGAGCATCTTTAACGTGGGTAAAACTAAAGGCTTTGTTTGTTATAAATATAGAATTTATAAGTTTATTATCACTGAAACAAATCTATGTGGCAGTAGTAATATCATACTGTGCTTTTCATAGTTGACGTTAACTATTACTATGTGCACCAAAATTTAATATTAAAAAATTGTTTAATAGTCACTTTAATATTACAACCACTATTAAAATGGGGTTAAGTTTTTGTTCTTTATAAACAACTACCATTAAAATAAAAACTATTTAAATTAATTATAAAAATTTTAAATCATACAAATCACTTTGGACCCACATAAAATACTTTAATTTACTCATTTTGGTTATTTCTATTAAAGATGCTCTTAGTAATTATGTGAGACGTTTGATTATAGAGATGCGGGCTTATGAATTTCATCCCATAGAAAAAGTTATGATGTTAAATTTAGTTTTTTATTCAAAATATTACTTTGATTAACCCAAAAAATAATGTACAAATATAGGGTGATTCATTGTTGATCCAACTCAAATCAAAAGAAGCAAGAAAAACAAAGTGGTCTAAGTCCAAGCCATATCCTCATTAGTCCAATATGTTTTTAAAATTTAAGTTTAATCACGTGCTATACATTATAGTATCTATTATTTTTCCCCCTATAATTATAGTATTACTTACATTGTTATTTTTTATAATTCTAAATTTCATAAACAGTTTAAGCAAAAGCAATCTTAAATAGTTGTATTTTCCACCCTTTTTCTTTGGAATTTTGAACAATTCAATGAAGCATGTCATTCCACTCCCTTCGTGAGTGTATAATCTCTAGTCAATTCAGTACACATTCACATTTTTTTTTCAAGACAGAACATGAGAAAATAATATGTTGAAGTGTTTCCTATTGAATGTAAAATCAACATTTAACATTACTTGTTAGGTCAAACCGATACAATTTCTCTTTTGTTGCAAGTTTATCTTGACATGCTAACCATAAAACAATGTTGGCTATAGGTCTTGCTACATTATCATAGAGCATCTTCCTCCAATGAACCACCTGTTGTGTATCCTTAAGGGCATGATACACCTTCTTGGTTTGCAATTTTGTGTTTTGTTGTAGTTTGTTCCACATTTGCATCTGTTGAGCCACATGCCTTTATCTAAGAATCACCTTCAACATTCAAGAGCACACATTATTCACAGATACGGTCATTAAGTCATCATTCTTGATATAATAATAGTGAATCCATTTGATTCATAAGCTATTAGCTTTACCACTGAGACTCCATAACAACTTAATCATGTTGGCTTGGTTCCATTCTTTTAGAGAGATTAAGTTCACACTCCTTGATTTTTTGGAGAGCAAACTTGTTTCCATGTTATAGAAGATTTTTTGGTAATTTCATCACCTCCAGTCTATAGTAAGGATTTACAAATAGCTAAAACGTTTTTAATCACCTTTTTTGAAAAGGGAAAACATTGCATCCAATAGTTAGTGATTGCAAAGATCACTCATAATTATTTGTAACTTGTCTGTAAAATTTAATAACCTCGCACTATAATGTTTGTCATACAATGATGCACATATAATTTCTTGCCATTTAGAGGTACTCCAAGATACCTAAATGGCAGGGGGCTTCAGTAAAAGAGGTAAGAGTTTGTATCTCAGCTTTGATGTTATCATCAACACCACCATAATATGCTTTACACTTTGTTAGGTTCACTGTAAGCTATGTGGATCTTGAGAAATCAGAGAACACTTGCATAACTAACTCAATTGATCTTGTATCTCCTTTAGCAAAAATTAATAAATCATCTATAAAACTGAGATTAACAAATTTACAGCTTTTCACATTTAGAGTTAAAATTGAAATCGGGTATCCTACTAAACTTTTGCATAGACTTGTCCTGGTGTTCAATAACAATCACAAACAGTCGGGGGGCACTGGACCCCTTATCTCAATCCCTTATTAGCCTTCAAAAATCTCGTTTATTCTCCATTTATCATTAATTTATATGAAATTATAGTGACAGTCAACATAAACCATCTGATAACTTTCTAGGGAAGTCAAGCTCTTTCAAAATAGTCTCCAAAGCACTATGCTCAACAATATCATATGCCTTTTGGAGGCTCACGTGCACCATATATCTAGGCACTCCCCATTTCCTAATGTCATACCCTAATTTTTACCCCTAAGGTTTCACCTATCATATCATTTGTATCTAACCTAAGATCACAAGCACGACATTCTCCTAACCTCTTTGGTTCAACTTTTATGGGAGATCACCAAGAATCTTTTGTATTTCTTTTTGCATTTATGCTTGTCTATCTTTTTAACTTTGCTAAACTTATTCAAAGTACAAAAATATGTGTTGCTTTTTTTTCTTATTGTTTAAGGTAGGGACTTGTAATCAAATGATCAAGCTTGGTTTCTAAATTAAGATTTTGGTTCCCAAATTCAAGTTCTGGTCAACAAGTGGTCCACAAGAGTTTTTACTACAAGGCATGACCTATAATCTTAGGTCATATTCATGTCAAGCTTTATTCAACATCGTTTAGTCAATAAAAGTTTAAGTTTGGTGCATGATTTCAAAGTTGATTTAAGCATTGTTTATGTATTTATTTTCATGTCATCTCCATCCAATTCTCAAGCAATTATCAAGATTATTCAAGGAACAATCAAGATTCCTTCATTTGGTGTTCAAGTGTTCATCATTGAGCCTTTTGATGCAAGAAAATCTCAAAAAATCTCAAGTTGATACATGTTCGGTTGACCTAAAATCAAGTATGGCGTGTCACTTAGTCCAAACACCATAACTCTCTCATTTTTCAATATTTTTGGAATCTACTTCGAGCTATATGTCACATTTGAACTCTTCTATAGTTTTGTTTCAAGGGTCAAACATCAATTTTGCCTCTAAGTACCTCAATTTCGAAATTAGACAAGATGCACATTATTGTACCCCAAATTTTACTATGAATTTCTCATTAGCATTCACATATCAAATTAATTTTTATTCACTTCTTTGCACTTTTACGTGCATTTTTCATTTTGATCTGAATTTCTTATCCATATATAATTTCTTTTGTTTTTAGAACAATTTTAAAATTATATTTTTGTTGGTTTATTTTATTATTATCATTTAAAAATATATCAAAATATATGTGTTTCATTTAATCAAGTTTTTTTTAGCTTAGTTTAGATTAATTAAGTTTTTATTTATAATAAATTTTTATTTAATTTTAATAAATATCACAAAATATCTTCATGAGAGATGTTGGTTTTGTAGATAACCTAAGGGATAAAATTTGTATTATGTTATAAGTTTATCTCCGGCGCTAGTTCTTTCACATAGTTTGCCAACATGGAGTGAGGATTTATTATGAAAAAGCGAGAAAATTATTGTCAGTTGGGAAACAGTAGCTTCATCAAGCAACGTTGTATTATGGGACCTAACATAACATAAAATTAAATATGAGTGAAATATTATAGTTGAATAGATGTATTTTAATGGGTCATACAAAAAAAACTAAAAATTGGTTGCACCATTGGAGATGTTGTAATAGGGAAAGAGTCATGGAGAAGAGAGAGGGAGGAATCAAATCCAGATCGTAAGAAAAGAGAGAAAACCTGCTCCCTTCGTACTCAAAAAAATCAACCACTCACCTGCTACCAACATCACTGATATCACCATCTCATATCTAACCTTCTTATCGTTCACCACCCTTCCGCCTTCCTTTGTTCAAGATTATAATCACCACCTCTTCATCTTATATCATCCCCGCCATCTTCAACAAGCTCATCGAAATTCCCTCTCTCTACAACACCCGCTGAATCGCCATCACCTTGCCTCCATATCTCCATCACCGGTCGGTACTTCCTCTCTTCTGTAACCTTCTATTCTCACCATAAACCTCCTCACAGTACCCGTTCAAATGTTATACAACTGATATTCGCCCTTCAATTTCTAACAGATACCATCATATCCTCATTTTCAGATCCAAACAACCTCACATCTTAACCGACAGAACTCAACATCCGAATACTCCCTCACTGTGATTGCTTCACGGCCAGCTCCTGTCGCCAGCACGCTCCAATACGCAGTTGTATTCCCTTGGTCTGCTCGGAACTCATGCGACTGTCACCAAGATCTACTCCCTCGTTGTTAATCTCAAACTTTGTTAGAAGACGTGGACAGCTTTGCATCATCAACAACTCTGCGTCCTTGATAGCTTCAACACCGAATCAACAATAGTTGTATCTCTGCTCCGATTAATTTAGACTTTGAGGTAATCTTCGACTTATTTTCAGTTGAGTTTTGATTGAGTTAAATGACTTCTATGCTTTTACAATTTCTGTGTAAATCTGTATGTAATTGTTGTGTAAGTCTGTGAAAGTGTTGATTCGATCGCATTGTCCTTTTTAGTTGAAGCAATATGCTGTTGAATTTAATGTGAGGAATCATTTTGAATATGATAATTTTGTTCGAGTTTCAAATTCTGGGTGATCAGGGCTAGTTCTGACTGTGTTAATTCATTAGCATGGCTTGTTTTTTAAACTGAATTCTTGGTTTGATTTCAACTTTGCGCTTCAGGAGAAATTTCATATTACAATCCCATGTCATGTGTTTTTAAACCAAATTCACGATATCATGATGTCTATTACATTTTGTTTTGATATTTGGAATAAGAGGATGAAGATTGTTGCTCAATGTTTGTGTTCATGTTTGACTTTAATTCGGATAGCAATTTAATTATTGATGTTGCTACTTGTTTCGATGAATGTGTGATAATAATACTCGTGCGGTTTAATTGTTTAGTAAGTTTAATGTTATGTTATGATACTTGATTCATTTTGAAAGAGTTTTGTTGGTATTTTTGTTTCATTTGTGTCAACTTGGAAAACTTATTTCGGTTACGGCATGATTTTGTTGTCTCCGTTGATATTGAACATGATTGAAATGAATTCTATGGAGCATTATCGTGATTGCTAGTTGCTACCCGGATTTGATTTAGAGGTTTAAGGGCTACTTTGGACTCGATTTCTTATTTTGCAATGTAAATTCTCGCCTTTTGTTTCATTTGTGGTTTGAAAATAGTGTTAGTTTGTGAGTTTACTTGAAGTTGAATATGTTTAACGTAGTGATACCATGCTGATTTTTGTTTGAGAAATATTCATTTATTCATACCATTTGGTTTAAGTTTCATTTGTTTTCAATTTTCTTGTGATTACTAACTTGTTTGTTGATTTGTGCAAGCTTACAAGAGTTCTCAAGAACTTTTCTCCTCACAATTCTATTTCACTTTCGATTTTTATTTTAATTCATTAGTTCTATATTGTTTTAATTAATTGGTGTTTGTTAATTAAAATGGATTAGTATATTAATATATTTTTCTTAACTTCATTAATTAATTTAATCAATGTTTAATTAATTGATTTTCTCTTTATTTCATCTTCTATCTTTCTTTATCTTTTCACTTTGATCAATTAATTAGATGTTGATTTAGTTAATTAAAATGGATTAGTTTACTAATCTATTTTTCTTAACTCAATTAATTAAGTTAATCAACTCTTCATTAATTGACCCATGTTTCGTTTGTTTCATTGTAGTTTTGATACAGGTTTCTAGTCCGCTCGGACTTGATCTCATGAGATCTCATGTGCGGACTATTTCTTTGCTCTATTGTTTGTCTGTTTGTTTGGATTGTCATCTAACGCAGGGATTTATATTCGATATTCATTTGATGCATTGAGTTTTACCTGATATTTTGAGCTTACATGATGCGATTTCTCCGATTGTGATTTATTTTCACATTGATGATGTCTCGACGCTTATTGTGATGCTTATCTTCTAACTCTCTTCTTTGATTGGTGAAGCTTATATGAAGATCTTCGGGTTTCTTGCTTTTGATTACGCTTTGTTATGGACATTATTGTTCATTTGGTATTGTTCTTGTTTTGTTTATATTCTGCATTGTTTTTTAAATTCCTTGCAATGAGAAGTAGGAATAGAGATGCATGCCTGAGAGTCCCTACTTTAGGTGGGCAATTTTGTTTAAAGTCCTCAGAGGAGGCGATGTTTGTGTTTGTATAAAGACCTCAAAATAAGTCAATGTTTGTGTTTGTTTAAAGTCCTCAAAAAGAGGCAATTTTGCTAAAGTCCTCAAAGAAGGCAATTCCTCCCCCATTTTACTTTGTGCTTGCAATCGAGTCAGTAAGTGGAGCAAAGGGCTCGCAATTGGCCCTCACATTTTCTAGTCCATGTCTCTCTTAGCTCGCGTTATACGTTGATGCTTTGAATTATGCTTATCATGTCCATTGAGTCAAATAAAGTGGAAAAGGATTTGTAACCAACCCCACACCTTGTCATTCATTTCGATGATGTTAGCTCATGTTTCATTAAACATTGATGCTTCGATTTATTACTTGATATCGGTGCTTGAGCAAATCAAGTGGAAAGGGTTCCTTACTCTCACTTTGAAATCCATTAGATTCATTGTTTGTTGCTTTCTCGCACTTGATTTTTATTTTGGTTTTGTCTCAACTTTGTACGATTGCACTTGTGTTTGTGTTTTTCTTTAGACCTTTGCATGTTCCCTTAGGACTACTCGTTTCATTTTCGATTCGAGTTAGACATTAGGTTTGTAATCCATGCATGCTAACTTAGGTAGATGTTTCTCATTTGCATCCAAACTATAGGACTACTATTATATGATAATATTAGGATTGTTAGTCTCCCTTAGACTTTTTCATTCATATTTTGTATAATTAAAACAAAAACTTCCTTTCTTAATAAATGTTAAACCACATAAGCATCTTTAAACACTTTTCAAAAAGACTAAAAACATTTAACCTCATTCAAACTTTTTTATGCGTTCGAGCATCTTTTATCCTTTAAAACCTTTTTTTTCCAGATTAAACATGATTAATTTTTAATCGAGATATCATCCTCATATCCCTATGGTTATAAATGTGTCTACTTTCCCACTTGAGTACTAGAGGCATTTCTGAACCCCCGTCCATGTTAACGTACGATCCATCTTTCTCACACCTTGTGGGCGATTAGTTGAGATTTCTCTCCTAAAAATGATGACTTGCCTCTTCATTTAAAATCAACCAACAGACAAGTCTTTTATAGGAGAACTATAAGTGCTTTGACCCCCTACTGCATGAAAGGTGGTACGTAGGCACTAAAGATTCACAACTGCGGTAGACATAACTAATAAAACATTTTTATTTGTATATACACTTTGCACCCATGCATTCTTCCCTTAGTTTGTAAGCTTTAGATATGAACACACCTTTTGATTAGAACAACGAGAGTGGATCCCGTGGAGTACCATAGACGTGAGGGGTGATAATACCTTCTCCTTGTGTAATCGACTTCTGTACCTCGATCTCAGTCGTAAGACCATGATTTCTCCCTTCTCAGGTTTTTCTTCGATGATTTTCATTTCCCTTTTGTAGGATAAATAAATACTCGATGACGAGTTCATTCATTTTCTCTCGATGATTTTCTGGCGGTTGCTTCACCAATGTGTGCACAAAAGTTGGTCCAAAACTTGGTTTGACCTATTGTCTAACCCGAAAATTAGGTCATGATCTGAACTTGTCATCTATGCCATTTTCAACTCAGGCATCCTTTTAATGTAGTTCTTTTTGCATTTGATTCTTCATCATGAGGAGATCATTTGACACAAAGAACATTTCAAAACGCATGAAGGAGTCTCATTTGGCCTATGCTCCAACAAGGTGCCATAAAATATGCATTTTACACATGACTTGTAATTAGAAATCAACCAAATTTTCACTTGGGACCACTGATAAGTGCAAATTGTAGCTATTTTTGTATATACTTTTTGTTGCACTTATCGACTCTTTATTATTAATATCGGTTGAATAAATACGACTTTTGTGTAAATATGTTTAATTACATTGTGTACATAATGTACCGGTTGATTAGTTTTCCATTTTTTGTAGGTATTTGAGCATTATTGGAGCAATGAGAATAAAGTCCATAAGGATCTCTAAGATGTGCATTTGTTCATTGAAGGAATAAGGAAAAGAAAGAAAGCCAAGAAGAAATGCAGAAAAATTTTATTTTGGCAGTAGCTTTGGGCGGTACTAAAGCGAGAGCAGAAGCGCTGTGAGCGTCGGGTGGTGCTCAAGCGAGGCAGTGGCGGTGGAAAAGGGATAAAATCATGTGCCACTAACTTGTGCTCGCGTTTTGGTTGTCGGGCAAGAATAAAGGTCGTCTTAGGGCGATGGTTTTGAGAGCTGGGCGGCGCAAGATATTTTTGGCAAGTCTGCTTGCATGGTGCTGGCTGAGAGGTTGAATAAAGGGCAGCTCCGCGCGGTACGTGTCTGGGACATAATTTTCTATATATTTTCCATTCATTTCATTTGTTAGGGTCATGGTTTTTGGGGTGGTTTTTGTTCTCCCAACTTCATCACTCTCATTTTTCTGGTAGATTAGCTTAGAAAACATTAATGAAGCTTGCATACAGATGATTCAGGGTGGATTTCTCATTGATCAGCGCTAACAAACTGGGAGATTTATGGTTCATTTATTTTCTTCTTTATGTATTCTTTATTTATTGAGTTTTTTTAATGTATTTACTTTGAACTCATATATATTTATCACCCATGGCATTGAATAAAGCTTGCTTTACAAATCTTGGTCGATATTATCTTGGATTTTTGCTCTATGCTTTGGAGTTTGGGTTGCTATAGACATACACTGCTCGAATTATTATCTAGGATGATTATCTAATAGTATCTAGATTATAGAGATAGATTTATAGCTATTATTAACTTGTGTGTCTGTGCTTAATTCCTTTGTGTTGGTTGTATTGTACTGAGAGATCGTCAATGCGAGTAACACGATTGTCTTTTATGTTGTTAAGGTTGGTTGATAGATCGCCTCCGAGATGATACAATTGGTGTTATGATTGATACATGATGACATTGATGAGTATTGTAGGTTAAGTATATCTGATCAATATGTTTAAGTTTGTGAGGAGTGAATTATATGCATGCCTGATAAGTTTCTTCTCTCTGAAATGAATTCTTTTTATGTTCATAAGTTTTAATTCCTGCATTTACTTTAAACCTATTTTAACCCAAACTCATTAGCGAGAGATTTGTCGAATGAAAATTCAGTAATACTAATCTATGTGGAGACGATACAATATAACCTATATCAAAATACTTACTTACTTTTGCTTGTCGCTTTACCGCTTTAGCAAAATGGCGTCGTTGCCGAGGATTGGTGTTTTTATTGGATCTCATTGCGATAGTTTCTTTGTTTTTGAGTTTTCTAGATATCTTATATATTGTTTATCTTCACTTGTTTATATTGATATTTGTATATGTTTACCATAATTGTAAATTTTACATGTTTTGTATACTTGTAAATATAATGTATATATATTTGTTTCTCTTCATGTTTGCCAAAAGTGTGGTTAGGTGTATAATTCCAATTAGAACTCGAAGAGATGAGAACGAAGGCGGGAGTGAAAGTATTTAACTCATTCGAAGCAGTGTGCTGGTTGTAAATAACAGGCGTCAAGCTTACGATGTAAAACAAACATGTTTTATTATTTTTCATTTTGTTAGTTTAGGTAGTGTATTGATTATTGTTTAAACAAGTTGAAATTGCACATGTTCTAAAATCTTAAATATTCAGTTTTCAACTTGTTTATTCACTTTCATCTGGTTTTTCCGAAAGCTTGCTTTTATTATCTTGAGGAAATGTGTATGTGTGTAAATTCTGTTTAGTTGTGTAAATGAGATGTGTGTGATAAGTGGGGGCTTCCATTATAACTGTTGTTGTTGTCCTGTTTTTCTGGTTCTGGTGTAGCGCGCTTAGCATGGTAGAGCTTGCTTAGCGTGCTCTGCTGTGATGCGCTAGAGAACTCTTTTTATTTCACTTGGTCTTCCTTTTTTCCACTTTTAACCAATGCTTTGTAGTAGTAAATAAAAATAGTATTATTTTTTCTAATAATTTTTGTTTGTTGTTTGTCTTCCAATTTTAGTCTGGTAACTTGAAGAATTTATAGGTGATTTTCCAGTTTTGAGTGTTTCAACTTGCAGATGTATGGTAATGATAGATTGCAAAGTTGGTACATGTCAAGTACTCGTTTGTCATTTTCTATAGCATAACATGTTTAGGAAACCTTTCATTTGTATAATTACTATATCATTCATTCTTTTTGCATTGCTTGCTTTTGATTGAATCACTTTAGTTCCCTTTTTACCCTAAATGTGAGGAAGCTTTCCATTGTTCATATATGCTGAAGGCCACAATTCTTGTTTTAACTGGATTTGACTATGATTAATCTTTTATGGTAGAATGGTGGTATATGGACATTGACTGCTCAAATCACATAATTGTAAACAAGCAATGTCTTATTGATTTTGACTATGTTAGAAAGAACAATATCAGATGTACTGATGATAAATATCTGAATGCTAAAGGAATGGGAAATATCAGAGTGAAGTTGCAGAATGGAAAAGTTGCTCTGGTTAAAGATGTATGATATGTTCCTGGCATGAAGAGCAATCTAATGAGTGTTGGTCAGTTGATTGAAAAAAGTTTTTCAGTAAACATGAAGGATAATCTCTTGAAGTTGTATGACTGCAATCAGAAGCTGATTATGCGGTATAAACTAGGAAGAAATAGGCCATTCAAGTTAAATGTAGAAAAAATAGACGCTCAATGCCTTAGTGCAACAAGTGTTACAAAGAAGAGTGAGTTGTGGAACAAAAGATTGGGGCATATGAACTTTAGAAGCCTAAGGCATCTGAGTTCAAAGAATATGGTACTTGGAATTACTAAAATTGTGACACGAGAGAAATCATGTGATATATGCATGAAAGGTAGGCTACCAGATTTCCCTTTTCATCTTAATTTCCACCAAGAGCACTCTTGCTTTAGGTGTGGTGCATTTTGATGTATGTGGTTCATTTGAAGTACTTTAACTTGAAGGGAATAAGTACTTTGTGTCATTTGTAGATGAGTTCACCATAATGATATGGGTAGCACTCATAAAGTTCAAACATGAGGTGTTTGTTGAGTTAAAAAAGTTCAAATTGAAGGCTGAAAATCAAAGTGGATAAAGGTTGAAGATTCTCAGAACTGATGGTGGATGTGAGTTCAACTCTAGAGAGTTAAATAAGTTCTGTGAGGAAAATGGTATTGGGCAATAGGTGACTGATCCATACACTCCATAGCATAATGGTCTTGCTGAAATAAGAACAAAACTTTGCTTGACATGACCAGAAACATGTTGAAAGAAAAGAATATGCCTCACACGTTTTGGGGGTGAAGTTGTTGCTACTGCAACTTATATGCTCAACATATGTCCAACTAAGAATTTAAAAGAAATTGTTCCTTTGGAAAAGTGGACTGGAAGAAAGCTAAGTGTGAGCCATATGAAGGTGTTTTGTTATGTTTGTTACAAACATGTACTAAATGCTACTAGAATTAAATTGGATGACAAAATAAATTTCATGTTGCTTATAGGTTACCACTATGCACGTGCTTATAAACTCTATTTCCCAGTCACAAATAAAGTTGCTTCCAACAGAGATGTCAGTGAAATAATCTGAAACATGAGATTGGAATAAGTCTAATGTTACTTATGGAGTTAAAGGTATTTTTGAAGATGTCTTTGAAGAAGAATATTCCTCTGAAGGAGATTCTAAATTTGAAGGTGATTGTGACTTTGAAGATGAGTCTGAAGGTGAATCTGAAGGAGATTCTGACTTTAAAGGTGACTCAGATTCTGATGGTGGTCTAGACTTTAAAGGTAGTCCATACTCTGAAGGTAGTTTAGCCTTTGATGGTAATCTAGACTCTGGTGGTAATCGAGCTTTTGAAGGTGTACTTGGCTCTGAAGGTGAACTTGCACAGTTCCAGAGGCCACAAAGAGTTAGACAGATACCAAGGTGACTTGTAGATTTTGAGTTTCTATATGATATTGTGTTTGAATCTGAAGGATAAGTAATACAGTGTTCCATGGTGGTAGATTCTGAACCTAGCAATATCAATGAGGCTCTCAAGAAGAAGGTTTGGGTGAAAGCCATAAGGGAAGAACTTGAGGCTATTAAAATAAACAAGACATGGGTATTAACTGCCTTGCTATAGAATAAGAAAGCCATCAGTGTGAGATGGGTTTTCAAGATAAAGCTAAAGCTAGATGGGTTTATTGCCAAGCATAAAGCAAGGTTAACAACTAGAGGATTTCTACATAAATCTAGTTTAGACTACTTTGAAGTATTTGCACATGTAGCTAGACATGAAACAATCAGATTGGTGATTATTATAGCTGCAAATAGAAATTGGCCTATGGTACATTTAGATGTGAAGTCAACATTTTTGAATGGTACATTGCAAGAAGAAGTTGATGTATTAAAAACTCATGGATCCGTGATAAATAACAAAGAAGGGATGATGTACAAGCTGTATAAAGCTTTGTATGGACTTAAACAAGCTCCAAGAACATGGAATCTGGAGATTGATTCATTTTTCAAGCATATGAGATTTAGAAAATATGAAATAGAGTACGGTTTATATGTGCAATATACCTCTAATGGAAATATCATTCTGGTGTGTGTTGTACCCCAAAATTTGCCCTCTCTTTCTTCAGGAAATCATCTTGGATTTTCAAGGTCCCTCTGAAACAAATCCAAGTCCAGAACTGTCATTTTTGCCCAAGCAAACCACTTACAAGAGCAAGATGATCACACAAGCTCTAAAGACAACGCTTTTAGCTTGAGAAAAATTAAATTCTAAGTACTTGGAATTTTTCTCTAAAAAATGAGTGTTTAAGAAAAAATCAGCATTTCAGAACTTCTGGACCAATTCCAGATAAGAAACGGTCAGAAGTTGCAAGCTTGGCTCAGTGCAGTCAGAAGTTGGCTCTTCACCAGCTACATCAGCTCAATCAGAAGTTGTAAACGTGGTTCAATATGTAAGCCTCAGACAGAACATGACTCTTTCAGCAGTTACGCAAGCTCAGCCAGAATTTGCTAAAGGAATGCAAATAAAGCAAGGAAGTCTGAAGGCTCTTTCAGAACATGCTGAAATCAGAAGATGAAAAGGTCAGAAGAGTGGGTGTTACACTGATACAGAATCTCTAAGCCCAGGAGGTCCAGAAGCAAATCCAGGGAACGTATCAGAAAATCAGGAGAATCTCCAAAACTTAATAAGACAACAAGAAGCCAAGGCCAGAGCATGGTTTACGCTGTTCTTGTTGAAACAGAACAGCTGGTTCAAGGTTTGGTTTCCCTTACCAGAATATTGATGTTGATAAGTCTTATCACCATTTAATGCTCATTAATGCTTCCAACCACTCCTGAACATTCATCCAAGTAATCCCTTCACGTGTGGCTTGGAAAACGCCTTTATGCAGATTCTGGCATGGGTCTACACGCCACCGCCCACTTAAGAGGTCACTTCACTCTAATCCACGCCTGTTGCTGCAGCCTAGGCTGAAG